TGAATTATATAATTAATTTAATAATAATTTTTTTAATTAAAAGTATGAGTATTTGAATTCAAGTGGTGTAATATATCAATAAAATAAGTTAAAAAATAAAGAAATATTTTAAGACATTTTATCTTTTTAATTAAAATTAATCTTTATTTTTTTAATTAAATAGAGTATTTTTTATTTTTATTTTTATATATTATATTATTTAAATTTAAAATATTTTATTTATAATAAAAAATTATTATTAAATTATTTAAATAATTAACACTGTATTTTTTTCAATTCTTAATATTGTGACAGGGAATGTGCTTTTAATCTTTTATTTATCCTTTGCCAACAGTGATATGAGCCAATGCAGCGTTGAGTACCAGCTGGATTCACAAGCTCTGCTTTTGTTTGTCTTTTTTTTTTTTTGGTTTTTCGATCGGTATTCGAGGTTTCATCTCGATTAATCCGGATCGATCCGCGTCGCGCACTTAAAAATAGTGAGTGAGCCTCCCAGCGAAGGTAACTGCGTACATAAGGTCTCAAACTTGAAATTTTGTTTAAACTGAAATAAACTATTTACCACTTAATCCAACTCCTCATTGGTAACTCTGCTTTTGTTTGTCTATTCTTGACTAAAAAGTGACACTTCGCACGGTTAAAACTCCGCAATCTCTGCAGCTCTCCTCCAAACACGCAAAAAGCTCTCTCTCTCTCTCTCATTTTTCCACACAAGAAGCTAAAGGCAAAGGTATGCTCCTGACTAGCCTCTGTTTTTTTTTTCTTTTTTCAGTTTTTTGGTTTAACACAAACATGCTTAGTTTTAATTTCTTTGTAAATCTTAATCATATATAGATGATCTACTTAGTAAAACATGCTAGCACTGAAAAAAGGAAAAAAGGGATTTTCATTGATTTGCCAATTTTTTAATTTCTTTAAAAGACAGATAAAAAAAAAATGAAAATATCAAAATAGTAGGGTAATTTATATACATAAAACCAACATTGAACATTCTAAAGGAAATCTAAAACCAAAAGGATATTTTCTCAATTTATTTTTAATAGTATTAATTTAATTTTTTTAATTTTTTAATTATTAATTGCAAATAAAAATTTAACAATTTTTATTAATAATAATTAAAAAATTTATTTTTATGTAAAGTTTTTGTTAAATATTTTTATTTATTTAAAAAAAATCTATTATTATTTTTATAATACATTAAATTTTTATTTAAAAATCACAAAATCAAATTAGCACCATTAAAAATAATCGGAGAAAGTACTTATGTAATTACTTAATTATGTGCATCTCATATAGTTTTTGGTTTATACATCCGCCTTTTTCCTTTCTTTATGATATGATTTTTGGTTTATGCAACTCAGATAAATTGTCGCCCTTTTGCCTTGTTTGTAGTAGAAACCGGTGGGATGGAATCAATCAAAGAAGAGCAATCACTCAACTAAAATCCAAGCAGAATATAATCCTATTAAGACCCGTCTCTGCATTCTGCCTCTTCCACCATCCAAACTCATCACTCTTTTTTATTTATTATCTTGTTCGAACTTGGAAGGCATCTTCTCAGCTTGTAGCATTGAGATTAAGGTACTTAGTTTATATTATATTTACGTATGTGCTTCTGATTTTTGTTTGTAACTTTGTATGTGTCTTCCTTTGCGTTTCTTTTCAAATATTACCGTTGTTACCTTAAGTTCCGAAACAAATCTGTATAATTTAATTTCAATACAAACATATATTTCTTGTTATTTTTTGTCTAGTTATTTCTTAATTTTATTAGGGAAAAAAAATGCATTTTCAGATCTTATTTCTTTTGTTCTTATTTTTCAATTTCATTATAAAGAGATATATAAGACAAAATTTTCAAAACAGTACTAATATATGATACCAGATAAATTGAAGGCTTGTTCAAATGATCAATCACATCATTCTTGCAGAATATTGCTTCTCCCATTCCAATCGAACTATGGAAGTTGTAGGAGGCGCCTTTTTGTCAGCAGCGTTCGAGTTGTTGCTCTCGAAGTTGAGTTCTTCTGTAAGTGAATGGCTGGATTTACCAGAGAAAGTTGGTGTCGAGCTGCAAAATTGGAGGAATCTTTTGCCAAAGATCGATGCTTTACTTGAAGATGCTGAAGATAAGCAAGGAAGAGGCCCCTCGGTGAAGTTATGGCTTGCTGATCTCAAGGATTTGTTTTATGATGTGGAGGACATACTTGAAGAGGTCGACATTGATGCCAAGAGGTTTGAGCTGTTTGCAAAACCCCAAGCCAGCACCAGTAAGCCACAGAAACTGATCCTTCCCAAATGGTTGAAAATGGTTGGAAGATTAACGGCTAAAGGAGAACGAAAGATGGCATCCAGGGTGAAGGATATAACTGCTAGATTCCAACGTATTGAAGCAAACATAAGTTCACTGAACCTGGTCAGATCGGCTTTGAGAACTGGAGATGAGTCCCACGGAGTTACTACAGAAAGATTGCTCGCTACTTCTTTGCTTGAGCAACATGTCTATGGTCGAGAAAATGATAAAGAGGATATTCTTCAGATTTTGCTCAATGATGAAGGCAACCATGAGCCATACTCTGTTATTCCCATTGTTGGAATGGGAGGAATCGGAAAGACCACTCTTGCTCAGCTCATTTACAATGATGACAAATTGAAGGGTAGGTTTGGATGGCAAGCATGGGTCTGTGTTTCTGAGCATTTTGATGTTTATCGGATTACAAGAGCCATCTTAGAGCAAGTAACCACAGCAAATTGTGATAAAAAAGAGCTAACTCCACTTCAAGAAATGCTGAAAGATAAGCTCTCAGGCCAAAAGTTTTTACTTGTGCTAGATGATATTTGGAATGAAAACTATGAATTATGGGAGAAATTACAAAGGCCTTTCCTAGCAGGAGCACCAGGGAGTAAAATAATCATCACAACTCGTAACGAAAATATTGGGAGGAAGATAAGAGGAGATGGCAGAGCTCATAATTTGTCGTTGCTAGAGGATGATGCTTGTTTGTCACTATTTGCTCGACATGCATTGGGAGATGAAAACTTTGATGCATATCCAGATCTCAAAAGATTAGGGGAGAAAATTGTTGAAAAATGCAAAAGGTTGCCATTGGCTATAAAAACCCTTAGTGGCTTCTTGCGTGGTAAGGCAGATCGTGCTGAGTGGGTAAAGATATTGAACAGTGAGATATGGGATCTACCAGATGGTAATGGTAGCATTCTTCCTGCTCTGAAATTGAGCTATAATCACCTTCCTTCCCATTTGAAGAGATGCTTTGCCTATTGTTCTATGTTTCCTAAAGATTATGAATTTGATGAAGGTGAGTTGGTTTTATTATGGATGGCAGAAGGATTCTTGCAACAACAACCACAGACAATGAAGAAAATGAAAGACCTTGGTCATCAGTCCTTTCGTGAGCTATTGTCGAGGGCTTTTTTTCAACGGTCCAGTAGGAATGAGTCGTTGTTTGTGCTGCATGACTTGATGGTTGATTTAGCCTTGCATGTTGCTGGGGATATATGCTACACCCTTGAATCAGATGGAGATATATCAGATATGAGGTTTCAAAGAGTTCGTCATTTGTTATTATTTACTTCTGAATTTGTAGTGTCAAAAAGATTTGAATTCTTGAAGAAAAAGAAGAATTTACGTACATTTCTACAACTGGGGAGGGATTTTGACCTTTGGAATAATGGGTGCTTATCCAACACACTCTTGCAAGATTTGATGAAAGATCTAAAATGTTTAAGGGTGTTGTATCTTCAAAATTATAACATAACGAAGCTCTCTGATCAGATTGGAGACTTGAAGCATCTTCGATTCATTAATTTGTCTAATACAAAGATTAAAAGACTTCCTAAGTCAGTGGGTTCTCTTCTTTACTTACAGACATTGTTGTTAAGGAACTGCTCAGAGTTTTTCCAGTTGCCTACCACTATTGGATATCTACTTGATCTCCAACATCTTGATATATCTCAAACACCACTTTTAAAAGAGCTCCCATCAGAAATCAGCAATTTGACAAGACTTGAAACATTGTCAAAATTTATTGTTGGTAATGATCGAGGACCAAGGGTGAAAGATTTGAAGAACTTGTCAGGTCTTCAAGGCCAGCTTACCATTTTGGATTTACAAAATGTTGTGGCTGCAAATGAAGCAAAGGAGGTGAATTTGTTTGAGATTGAGGGATTAGATGATTTATGCTTAGAATGGTCTTCTGATTTCCTTAACAACCGAAATGAAAGATCTGAATTGCAAGTTCTCAGCTGGTTAAAGCCTTATCATGGTTTGAAAAGATTGACAATCAATTGTTTTGGTGGATTGGAATTCCCACCTTGGATAGCTGATCCATCATTTTCCAACTTGGAGTTCTTGAAGCTCAACAATTGTCAAAAAAGCACTTCATTACCATCACTCCAGCTATTACTACGACTCAAAGAATTGATCATTATAGGCATAGAAGCAAATTCTCTTGATTCTTTAGTTAACGTTGCTTATTTTTATGTTTTTTTTCATTGATTTTGCTCTTTTTTTTTTTTTTTGGCAGGCATACATGCAATACAAACCATGATGCTTGACAAGGACAATTCTTCTTCAAGTTCGGCTTTTCCATCATTGGAGAGTTTGAAATTGCAAGATTGCCCTATACTGAAAGGAAATTTTCCAAAATGCATTCCTGTCCTTAAAAAGCTAGAGATTGCCAGATGCCCAGAGTTAATATATTCACCAATAAGTCTTCCATCACTTGAAGAGTTGTGTGTTGAAGAATGTAGTGAGGCCGTCTTGAGGAGTATGGTTGACCTCAACTCACTCAAAACATTGAGAATCAGCAGAATTTCTAAGTTGATTTGGTTGCCTAACAGTTTTGTAGAGTCCTTGATAGCACTCGAGAATATGGAGATTACAAGTTGTGATGAACTCAGAATGTTTCCAAGAGGCAAGTTACCCACCACGCTTAAAATACTCCTAATTACAGAATGTGAAAAGCTAGAATCTTTACCAGAAGGAATATTGATGAATAATGGTGATGCATGTCAAGTGTCCCATCTTGAAGAATTAAGTATTGACAGCTGTCCATGTCTGAAATCTTTTCCAACTGGCCACCTACCCAATTCTTTTAAACACCTTTATGTCCGTGATTGCAAACAATTGGAATTTATCCCTCAGAGAATGCTGCAGTATTATAGGGAACTTGAAGAGATTCAACTTGGTAATAATCCCGAATATGATTGGCCAAAATATGAGAGATGTTATATCCACAAATGTTTAGGGATAGATAAGTTAGATGGTTTGGAGTCGCTCTACCCATTTATCCCCAATCTTAAAAGGTTAACCATAAATAGTTTCAAGAATCTCAAGTCCTTACCTGATAAGTTGCAGGACCTCAACTCTCTTGATGAATTATGTATAAGCAATTGTCCAGGAATTGAGTCCATACCAGACAATGGTTTGCCTCCAAACCTAAAATGTCTTCGAATTTCTGATTGCCCAGGGATTGAGTCCATTCCAGACTCTGGTTTTCCTCCAAACCTTAGAGATCTTCATATATCTGGTTGCAAGAATCTCAAGTCCTTACCTGATAAGCTACAGGACCTCAACTCGCTCGATAAATTACGTATAGAGCATTGTTTAGGAATTGAGTCCATATCAGATGGTGGTTTGCCTCCGAACCTAACTTCTCTTGTAATTTTCAATTGCCCAAGAATTGAGTCCATATCAGATGGTGGTTTGCCTCTGAACCTAACATCTCTTGAAATTAGCATTTGCCCAAGAATTGAGTCCATACCAGACGATGGTTTGCCTTCGAACCTAAAATGGCTTAGAATTTCTCATTGCCCAGGGATTGAGTCCATTCCATACTGTGGTTCTGCCCCAAACCTTGGAGAACTGATAATTGATTGCAAGAATATGAAGAAGCCGATGCAAGAATGGGGCCTCAGCAGCATCACTTCGCCTCTAACTTTTGTGATTTATAGGATATGTCCTCCAGATAATGTGCTTCCCACTTCTCTAACCAATCTTACAGTGGGTAATGTTGAAAATATGAAATCCATATCTAGAGGGCTCCTCCAAAACCTCAACTTTCTTCAATGTTTAAAAATTCATGATTGGCCAAAGCTGCAAACGCTGCCAAAGAAAGCCCTGCCTGCCTCCCTTCAACAGTTAAGAATTTCGAACTGCAACAACTTCCAGTCCTTGCCAAATAAAGTCTTGCCTCCCTCGCTTCAACGTTTATCCATTGAGTTTTGTGCCAACTTCCAGTCCTTGCCGAAGGAAGGCCTGCCTCCCTCGCTTGAACAACTCCAAATTAGAAGCTGCCCGCTGCTGCGACGACGATGCATGAAGGAGAAAGGACATGATTGGCCCCTCATTGCTCACATCCCCGACGTTGATGTTTGGGTAAAACTTAGCTTTTCTCAAATTAGTTGAAAATTTTAAGTTTTTTTGAGAATTAATTTAGGAACTTAAACTATTCTAACTTTTATATTATTCATTCCTTTTAGAATTCTTGGTAGCCACAAAAGTTCTGGTATTTCTTACAAAAATACTCCATCATATATATATATATATATTGTTTTGATTCACAGCAGTTCCTTTCTTTTTTTATGAATGTCAAATTTCAAGACTTGAATTTTTTCAACAATCAAATTTATTTTACTATGTTGTTGGAGACTTAGAACTTGGCTCATCTAATTAATCTCTCTTTTCATTTTAGCTTCAAAACAGAATGACAATCAAATGAATTCAAGTCTAAATAAAAGATAAAGCTGGTTTTAGTGTTTTCCCTTTTTTTAGTTCCTCGTATGTTCTGATTTAGGTTATTTTTCCTTATATCTTGGATATTAAATCATAGTTGAAAGATGGCCAAGGAAAAATCAAGAAAAATAATAAGGATTAATTTTCCTTTTGTAGCCTAAAGCATATTTCTGAAGACTCATTGACTGCTCAACATATAAATAGCTGCTGAAATGGTGGGAATGGCAATAGCCATTGAAATGGCTTCTTCACTGTGCCTGGCCTACCGCTACTACCCTTGTGTAGTCCTTAAAGCTACAAAACAAGCTCCTTCACTGATAACATTTCACATTTTTACTCCTCTTCATCATCATAGCCAAGTAGCCAACAATGATATATGCTTCTACTTGTGCTTTTGCCACCATTGATGCTAATAAGAAGTTTAGGAGCACTGATCTGGTGGCTCTTGAGTATGCTGATCTTAACCTAAAAAATTTTCTGGGTATGTTCTTATAATCATCTAGTTCCTTCCTTCTTATTACAGTGACAGTTTCTTATCCCATGCAATTTGGCATGGTATTTGTTCTGTTTATACCTTCATATGAATGAAAGGAAGGCAGATGAATTTTTTCTCTCTTTTTTTCCATACTGAAGTTATGGTTTTTGTTTTAATATAACACAAGGAATTAGGTCATGTAAGAATCAGGCCACATCTTCAATCTTTTGCTCTAAGTTTTAATTCCTCATATGATCATTTCTTTGATTGAATATAAATGTTTTAATTGGTTTTGCTGTTGTTGTTGTCACAATTAGAATAAGATATGATATTGTCATTTTGTGCGTAGATGCTAGCACCAGTACCAAATTAGAATCAAGTATTAAAGGGACACGACATTGCCACTCTTGGTAAATAAATGTTGGAAGTGGTGATCCCTTTGTCCTTCCTTCCATTTCATCTGATTCATTTAATACATATGCAGTTTTTGTTCCTTAATGAGTGAAGCTGTTTTGAAGCTGTGAGATGGTCCAACTTTCTAGCTATTGCATTTTATTTTGGTTAGCAGCACATTTCCTACATGGCTTGCGAAATGAAATCCTGATTCATGAAACTATTTGGGACTGAAAATATATATGACAGGATGGGATCAAGCTCCTTGGACAAGTTCTAATTCACTCAAGAATTCTTCTGATTGAGTTAATGTACATTTTCTTGATCTTCATTTTTCCATTTTTCTGTTACATTATATAGACAGTTTCTTTGACATAATCATGTTGTTTAATTGCCCAACAGCTGGTTCTGGTTCTGTGTGTTGAGTTCTGTGTAAAAGAGCTGGCTCTAAGTAAGATATAAAGCTTAAACCTACCCTTTGCTATTTGATGAAATGCTTTATTTTAGATCTAATGATGGATGACTTGAACGGTATTGCAAGCATTTCATTTTTGCAAATGTTTCAGTTTCCATTAAATGATTGGTATCCACTAATCTTGGACCCTTGATGCTAATTTCAATCTAGGTTAGTGTAGTTTTGGCACTATAAAGATCAATTTACCTTTTAATTGTTGGTTAAATGAAAATAGAATTGTGCTATATGCAGTGCCTGCATCCTCATTTCAAGAAAAGGCATCATAAAGAAGGGTTCTGCAGAACCCTTTATTGGATTCAATTAAAATAGGTGGACTCCTAAGGAAAGGTAAGTTGTGAGACGTGCTTACTTTCTAGAAGTTGCAAAATTTTATTGTTTTCACATCTGATCTTGTCTAAAATTGTTACCAGCTGATGCATGTTTGTCATTATTCGCTCGACATACATTCAGAACCGAGAACCTTGTTGCTCATCCAGATCCAAAAGGGGTTAGTGAGGAAATCGTTAAAAGGTACAAAGGATTGCCATTCAACATAAAATTTGTTAGTGATTTCTTGCATAGTAAATTAAATTGTAAAGAGTGGAAACACAAATTAAACTTTGAGGTATGGGATCTATCTGAAGACCAAGGTGGCGTTCTCCCTACTATCAGGATGAGATAAAATAAACACATAACAAACTGCCAACGTTTACGTATCGATAGCTAGGTTTTTTCCCTTTTGAAACTTATTTACTTTTCTTAATAAATTTCTGGAGTTCGTTTTAATTTTCTTCCCAGCCCTTCCTAATCAAATCTATTTAATTTCTGGAAATGTAAGATCATGTATTTTCCAACATCGTGTGCTAAATCTCAGAACCCAAACTGATAGAAAACATAGTTGCAATTGTAGATTAGCAACAGTACTTGATTAGGGTGAAGAATTCAGGGTCTCATTATTGCCACTCTTGGTAAATATTGGAAGTGGTCCCATTTTACCCGATTCGATTTATGCATGTTCAGTTTCTATTTCAAATTTCTGAGATAGTGCAACTCTTTATCCATTGCCAATTTTGTTTCGATTGTATTGAAGTAAAGTAGCTTAGTAAATACTATTTGACTTTGTGAGCCTTTACCTTATAGTAATGGGAGGATTTTTAGCTACATTTTCACTATTTTCAAACTTCTTTATACCCACTTTTTATTTTTCAAGCCTTCATTTTCTTGAAATGTTAACTTTGTAATTGCTTAGTTAATTTTCCTTGTTTTTATTTTGATTATCATTTTTCTTGTTGTTGGCATTGCCATTATGGTTAGAACCATTGCTAGTTGAGGAAGAAATGGGGACTTATTCACTTCTAAGTGTTCAATTTTATTAGAGTAATCAAACAAATTTCTCTATTTGGAGCAGATTTCTTATATGGCTGGCTAAAAGAAGTCCCAATTCATGAAAAAGAAAGAAAAAAAGAATGATCTATGTTCAATTCATACAAGGTTTTGTGTATACATTTGGCTTTTGGCTTTTTGTTTCAAAGTGCAAAACAAAGTTTTGTATATACATTTGGCTTTTGGCTTTTTGTTTCAAAGTGCAAAACAAAGTTTTGTATATACATTTGGCTTTTGGCTTTTTGTTTCAAAGTGCAAAACATGTATTCATTCTATTTATTTTTCATTTTTTCATCCATATTTGGAGATATTGATGGCAAGCTTGTAATCTGATTATATTTAATTGAAGCTAACGAGTTGGTTTTGATTTTATCTTCCTATCTTGTGCATTTTCCCCAGCTTTTGGAGCGCTCTGAAGAGTTTCATTTTGTTGTTAGCTTACACCAATCATCTCATCAGCTGCTGGGTAGGCAGGAAGTGTACCGATTAGTAATACTAATGGACTGAGAATAAAAGGTAATGATAGTTTTGTGTTTGATTTTTCATACTTTTTGGTTCAGGGTATTATATCATAGCTGAAAGGCTATGTAGTAATCAATAAAACTAATAAGGATTCCTTTGCCTTCTGTATTTGTGAAGCTTAACATGTTTGTCAATGGAAAAGAAGCTGGTTTCTGGAGATTGAAAAATTGCCATCCCAGCATTTTGTGAAGATTCATTGATTGCTCAACTTTGGGTGTTTACGTATAACCTCAAGGAAGAAAGCTCTTCCTCTGCTGCTCAGCTTTTGCTTGCAGTAAACAAGTTTGTTGGAAGTTTTAAGATTTGGCATATTTGTTTGTATGCTTTCTTGACAGACTACATCTAAGCTAATGATGTTAATTTCTCCCTGTCGATTGGCTGATACTTCTGCTTGTCCACAAACTTGATATATACCAGGCTAGAATGATACTTAATTCAAATGAACTTGAAGATTAGACTAGTCTTTAATATTTTATTGTTTCAAGAGCCAAAATGTGAATTGCAAATGAAATTACTATTTGATAAGTATAGCAGCTTCTATTTCTCAAGGAATGAAGCTGTCTCAATTCACAAACTTATTATGATTTGGAAATCTAGTTTCAATTGCATATTTGCTTTGAGGTTTATATGTAGGTAACTGAATGCTATTTGTTTGGTGAAAATGAGCATATATATCCCTGATATTTTCTTATGGCTATCGGAATACTCTATAAATCCATTAAAAGAAGACTGTACTCTCCCTTGGCCATAAGGTAGGAGAGGGAATTGTTGTTCCAAGTGAACCCCATTTTGATCAAAACATAAGTGCATTCTCAAATGAGTCAAATCAGAGTCATGGCTTTTATTCAATTTAAATCATGACAACTAACGACTCTGTAAAAAAATGATCTGTATCTTTTTATTTGAAATTTCATAATCCTCCAAAAGAGTAGAATAGATATTGCCCCTAAAAAGCACTTCAGTAATCCCAAATGCGGATGGTAAAAATAGGGCAACAACAGCTAAAAATGCCCTCCCTAACCTATAATACCTTGTAGCAACGTCACAAGATGAGGCTGGTCTTTTTGTTGACATGAAAATGTCGATAAAATGACATTTTAGGCTTCAAATAAATTATTGGAATGGTATATATTCCATATAGATGAACTCTTTCCAGAAACATAATGAAAAGATTTCCCTTGTAAGAAAACGATCCTACATAAAATATTGTTGCTGGTTGAGTGTGCATCTTGGTGGAGTTGATGGGGAGCATGCTATTTATTTATGGTGGGGCGTTTCAACTGTAGTCCATATGGGAGTGCAGAATCATTTCATGCATGGAGGACTTGTAGGCAACAACTAGCTATTTAGTGAGGCATGGCAAGTAATATGGTTTGCAACAATTTGAACATTATGGCCATGGAGAAATTAACAAGCTTTTGGCACTAAATGAAATAGTCTAGAAGAGCTGATTGACTGTCCAGTAGAGGTCTTATTATTCGTCAAGAGTTGGATTAATTAGCAACCTATCCTTGGAAGCTTGGAGGAGTAAGGGTTAAAACCCCATTTAGGGCCTGTTTGGTTCTGTTTACTGTATCTTCTACTTTTTTTTTTTTTTTTTTTATCCTATTTATGTTTTATAAGTTTAAACTTTTCCTTTAAAAACTTACATTTCATTCTTCCTCCAACCCCTTACCCCGCCATTCCATTTCTCAGCAAAATCTTGCTTCCTCCCTCGAATTTTACTCCTCCACTCTCCAAATCTGATCCGTTGTTCGCTCAAAATTTCTTCGGCTAGTTTGATCCTGGTTTCTGCGATTTTGAAACAAAAGCTTGAATCGATCCTTTCCAGTAAGTGTCTACAATTTCAGGGGTTTCAGCTTCTTAGTGGTTAGGGCTTTGGTTTCTCGATCTTTCATTCCTACTTTGAATCGATCCTTTCTAGGAAGTTTCTCCAATTTCAGGTTTTCAGCGACACGAATCGATTCATTTCGGGTACTAAATCACCAGGTGACAGCGAATTTGTCTTCCCAGAGACGGAATGCAAAGCCAAACCGTAATGATTCTGTGGTTCCTATGTTAAGCTAATCTTTTACTTTAATTAGTTTTTATTATATATATTTTTTGAATTTGCTTGTTTTGGTTTGGTTTGACTTAATTGGATGGAATATGTGATGGATTTGTAGAAGTGTTCAAGAAAGTAACTTGGGGGAGCTTGAAAAATCATCTCCCCCAAATTACTTGACTGATTTTGGTGTCACTAAAGGCTATTTTATTTTACTTTTGGGTGCAACCATTTAATCTGATTTTTCTGCACTATATGAGCACTGTTAGTTACTGTTTTGGTGCTCTCATCTTGCCCTGTTCTTGCACATGAATTATGCCATGTTTCATCATGTTTTATTTACTGAAAATATGCCATGAACCATGTATTTTTCTGCACTCTTCCTACACAGTTTTGTGACTCTAATATACTGATTTTTGCCCCTAGAACTTGAAAGCTACAAAGAATGCTGCTATGGAATTTTGATTATTTTCCCCTTTATTGTACATTTGTTTTGGACACTAACTTGCAGTCCATTTTTCCTCATTGGTACAAAATTATGCACTGTTTTTAACTTAAAACTTCACCATTTTGGACTGTGTTGCTTTCATTTTTTCTCATGTGCAAAATGGATGTTTTTCTGATGCCTAATGTCTATTACTATTCTGACTCTTTCTGCTTGATTAGAATTTAGTGATAATTCTTGATTGTGAAAGGAAAAGTAATCAGAAATGTTCAAAACGTGTTTAGGAATGCTTAAGTGAAGGAACTAGACAAGTCATTATTTCAAGCATTTCTATTTTCCAGTTACTGCTTTAATTCTTGTTTTAATGACGGGCATTTTTTCACGATAATTGTGCCTTAATCATAAATTGTCACATAAAGAAAGGATTAATGATATCTTGTTTGTAATAATCAGTATGATATAAAGAACAACAAAAAGAGATCGTACAACACAGACACCACAGAAAACAAGAGAAAAAAAAAGAACACGCGATATACACGGCGCACAAAAAAAAAAGTAGGACTACTTAAATTAGCAAAATTTCTTACACAACAATACTGACAACTTTGATTTCAAGCCCAACGGTGTGTTTTTGGAGAAATTCTTTTTTTTTTTTTAAAGATCAGCTTTAACTTTTTCATTGTCCAAAATTTATTTCCATCGAGACTCATTTTCTAAAGGGTTTCCCAACATTGTAACATCATTGAACTAGTAGTATAATAATTAAATATAGGAGTAATCTTCATTTTTGATTAGGCATAGTTCTATTTTTAGATCTAACTAGTTTTGGAATATATTCTTTCTTTAGCTTTGAAGAATAATTGATTAGCAAGCTAAAATGGAAGAGTGGTTTCTACTATACTGAGAAATTTGAAATCGGTGAGTGTATTGACCGGATGCCCTGAGATTGAACTTTTGCAAGGCAGATAACCCCTTTTGTCTTTGTTAAAGGTAAAGGAGTGATTATTTTCTGTGCCCTTCAATTAACCGTTAAGTACTTCAATTAATGTGCAACTAAATTTGATCATGAGTTGGATCCATAGGAGAGATGGGGACATTTCCATAGCACACCAACTGGAAAAGATTGGTGTTCCTTTTGACTTTTATTGGTTTTTCTGTTATTCTTTGCATAATACTACATTCTTAGACCCTGTTTCATCTTCTCTCAGGTATGTACAGACCTGATTTGTCTTCTTCTCAAGATGGATGATCTATCACGGTTAGTATACAATGAAAATATAGTTTGCGGGATGAGCACAGTCAATCAAATAGTGACAACTGGTTATTTCTACTATTAAGTAGAGAGAAAATACTTTGTTAAGTGGTCATTGTATTAAAAAAATTTGAATTCTGCAAATAATTTACTGAAAAAGGTAGCTTCTTGGCCTCTTCTTTATGCCAGGTTAAAAACATACTT